AATCAGAAGTGTGCTTCATCGCTAAACAAAATTCGCTTATGAAAATCGGGAACAACGGCAATCTCGTTTTGGGCCCATTCGACGAATCTACGCCTTACTTGATGATCGTTTGGCTTCAGATCCAATTCCTGTGCTCGATGGCGGATGGACTCATTCGGGTCTTCCTCAATACTACGCTCTACAGCAGCAATAGCTTCTTCTGTACGCAACGTACGGCGTCTCTGGGGATGTGAGTTATCAATAAGAGTAAACGTGGTGCGAAAACGTTCCTTGGTTAATCGAATTAACTGCTGTGATGGACGATTTTGTCGACGATAAAATGGACGTAGTGCGCGATACGTATTCAGTACAGAACCATTATTTTCGAAATAAAATTGTACTATTTGCAAGCGTTGTTCAGGCGTGAGTTTATTCATGATGAATTGCCAAACCAAACTGAGAATAAATCACTTGACAGCTGTTAAATCAGTCGCCATCTTGAACAGTAATGCCTATATAGGTAAATTTTTGGAAAACTTCAGAACGGACACGTTCATTGAGTGACGGGTGACGTGATCATCAAAAGTGACACAATACTATCAATGTTATAAATTTAAATGGTCAGTGTGTAATGAACCAAATTTTGTTGTTTGTGTTTCCAATTTGTTTAAAAAAAATACGAATCATGTTTTATCATCATCATCATATCATTTTAATCTTTTCTCTTGTGGCATTTGATTTTTACCTTTTTTCCATATAAAAAAACGTAATAGTAAAGTAAAAACGTTTTGAATTTATTGTTGGTGGTTGTTTTTCTCTCACCTATAAGTATTCAAGAATTCCACTGAAAGACAGCATTTAGCTTTGCACAATGCCAGTTACCAATAGTTAGTAATTGTGCAAAAAGTACTATAGCTTTACAAAGATGAAAATGCAGGCGAAGTCCTACTCTGGCCATGGACAGAACTACGCTCAAATACTGCTTGGGCAAACATTGCAGAACTTAAAGCTCAACCAGAGAATACTCGAAAAATTGCCCATCAATAAGTTAAAAAATAATCTGGTATAACGACTTCTCAAAAAACCAAAGAAATATTAAAAATCCAAGGCAAATACACAAATTGTCTATTCCAATAGGCAAGCTACGGCACAATGTTCTAAGCAGAGATGGTCGCATTAAAAAAAATGAGCAAAAAAAAGAAGAGGAAAAAGTTTCGTGAATGAAGGTAGCACAAATAAAAGCTATGCAGGCCAGGTTTGTTTTGGAATGTTACATGACATTACCAATATCAAATCAGAATAAAACGAAGGCTACCAAGGTAACGAAAGTACCGATACCCACAGCAGACCTACTAAACCAATAAAGGGAGTCCTTGAAAATAATGGTAGGTCACATGTTAAAAAGGCATCCAAACAACTGGCAGTGGAAGAAAACAATGAATGTGACGGCTTATGTAGAGGGCATTTCCTTGTACTAGTTTGAACTACTAAACTTACCAAATTAGAGATGAGCCACTATCGAAGCTATTAAAAAACTCTCGTCTGCAAAGTACACAGCCTCTCATTGTCAAGTGGGTCACGACATTATTATTAACAAAACAATGGCAATGGAGAATCATTGTTTTGTGGAATTTTCGTGTTTATGTGGCACTATCGGGTATGTGGTGTTCTGGTAAGTAAAGAAATTTACGAATACTGTTAAACAGAAAATCGGAAGAAAGTTGGAGTTGTAATAAGTCCTTATTAGACACAAAATTTGCACGAACATCGCGCGAAATAAGAAACCGGGTTGGCGATAATTACGTCTTCGATAAAATCGGCGACAAAAGAAATAATTTCTTTCGCCCACTCCCCAAAATCTTATCAGAACGACGCGATGTCGCATTGCCCGGACCCGAGCTAACTGTAATTTGGTGATAATTAGGCTTAACTTTAATTGGTACCTTCCGCGTGTAATTTAGGTGAAGTGATTTTATCGCCCGATTCATTGTTAAGTTCTTATTCTTCTCGTGCACAGATTTGCGAGCATATTTGTCAAATACGATTTTAATGATATGAGCCCTTTAAAGCCTAGATAATCAATAAGTCTCGGCGCAGTGACTTTTACACTATCAATTTGAGAATATTTTTGCTTTTTGCAGTCAACCGTGCGAAGCAAACCCACCAATGATGATATATTGTATGGGGCCAGACAAGTTAAAGACAAACAACATCACAGCAACGAAAATACGTCTTCCGCTAATTGTAATGCTACTTACAGAAAACAATTTTGCTAAATTTTTCAGGTGTTCTAATGATGTTATTAAAGTTACAGCTTAATGTGAGAATTTCTAGCAATTGCTTGGGGTCAAATGGTGAGCTCAAAAATAATTGTTATGTCCATTGAGGTAATATTTCTTCCCTTTCTTCTAATTCTCTAATTTAATGAAATAAATAAAATATTTATTAAGTTACGGAATATTCAAATTGATCAAGAAAATCTAGTCTAATACTCTATGCTAATATTAAATGAACTTTAACCCAATTTTCATGGCGTATTTTTGTCTCGGTGCTGTCGTTTCGTACGAGGCAAATTGTCGTATTGTGCACCCTGCTTTCTATTTATCGATTATTTTGACGAGACGGGTAAAACTTAGACGGCGAAGAGATGTCGGATTTCAACCGTATCGCCCGATGAAATATCACCTCATTGCAAAGGGAGTGTGAAGTGGCTCCTTACGTTTGACGTTTTGCCACCGTTGCGGCATTTCCTGTTTCCAGGTGAGAAAAACATGAATTGTTTGCCTTCAATTTTATTGCACAGTTGTTTAGTACGAATCTTGAGTCGTTTTCTGTTTAATTTTATATATTTGCCTTACTATAATTTTTAATTTACAATAAAAGCAGAATAAGGTGCAATTATTTAATAACTTAACGTATTTTCACAATTTCGCATCTTAGTTAGAACTAGCCCGGTAGAATCGTGCATTCTTCCAATATATGATAAATGTTGGTCAAGTATTGTAAATTTGTTCAACCAAGCGTTGTCCACTAATTGACACTACTTATTTTTTATTACTTTTTAAAACTTGATATTTAGCATATTCTGTACTAAAAAAACATGTAAAAAAATACCATAAAACCTTAATTAATGTTGTCATGAGAATTTAAGTTCAACAAAGGAGAGGTATTTTATTTAAATATTATTGATTGATAAGCAATACATTTGAATGTCTCATTTTGTTCATCTCCATGGCTTCCAATAAATTTAATTTTTGTGGCTGTATGCAAAATATCAAATTTGTCGTCAAAAATGTGTTTTTCTATGTTTAAGTGTGTGGCATAATTATAAACTAGACTATTGTTTTTAAACGCTCTTTTATGTTCGTTAATGCGTTTTTTGAAGGATCTACCTATGTGTCCAATATAAATTTTAGGACAAGATCCGCATTTCAATCTGTAGACACCTGATTTTTAAGATTTTGGGTATTTCGTTTTATTGTTTTTTAAGAAATTTCCTATTGTGTTGTTAGTTCTGAAAGCTATTTTTAAACCACATTTTGACAAATGTTGGAGAACCTAGTGAAAAAATTTCAAAACATTTGTCAAAATGTGGTTTAAAAATAGCTTTCATAACTTTATCATCTAGAGATTAAATTTTTCGCTTACTCGCCATGCCCGCCGTATTAACTAAATCAAATTGGAACTGATTGAAACAATAGTGTGCTTTTATACATACCGATAAAGGCATTAACATAATGGTTTATTACGAGAAAAACACGTAGGATGACCAGGTTGTCGGTAATTAGATTATTAGGTTAAGGAATTCTGAGAAGGTAAGAGACTCCATTAATTACAAGTCGGTCTACATTCCTTACTTTGTCACCTCATGTGCAATCTTTTTTCTAATATTCAATTCGTAAATAATTGACAATAGAGTATTTACTAATATTATATAATGTACTTTTCAATGATTGAAGGACAGTTGAGTTAGGTAGTTTCAAGATATTTGTTGTAATGTTTCTTACATACCTCTCGCTTAATGTAAAACCAGTCGTGGTGTAGTACCTAATTAAATAATTTTGGTTAATTTGTGATTGGCGATGTGATCGATGATAAGCATAAAATCGTTTTCTTGGTAAAAAAATGAACTTTGTTTTTGGATAATATTTTTAGCAAATTTTTAAATTAATACACTATTAGCACTAAACTGTATATTGCTACATAAATATTATAAACATTTGCATTATATACGTATATTCAAGTGTACACCCAGAACGCACAGTCGCGCGCCTCTGATCAAATTACCGAACGCAGGAAGAAAATACAAATATAGAAACGGTTTATTACATCTGATTCAAAAATTAGATTCTATTAATCAAATCCGCAATTTTCTAACTAAAAAGTGTGAAAGTCCACCTTATTTCGTTGACTAATATTGACACTTTAACTTTGAATTTCAAACCGGAGTGGCCATTTTTTCTGCAGTCTTTTTTAATCACCTACAACATTTTTCTACTTCCTTCCAGTCTTGATGCCTTTTGGTCAATTACCAAAAATTTGCAGGGACAATACATAAAAACCATATCTTTCAAGGTTTTCAAATTAGTTCTTGATTACTGATTCTAATTACAAACACATTATCTCTATATTAATGTGGACTGTGTTACGCAATGCAAAATATTGAACCTGTGCCGTAAAATAGACTAAATGTAGCGTTTGAAACAACAAGTAATATAAAGTTAGGAACGCGTACCATCAGATAATATAAACCAGTTTATAATTATTCAATATTGAATAATGCGCATCATCGAAACAGTGACATCCATTGCCGCAATAGTGCTAATAGAATCCGGAAAAAAAAGGATGCAAAGGTGACCCAACAAAAAATATTACTTCGATTTTTAACGAAACAGCAAACGTATGTAAAATGTTTATTCCAGATTTAATAAGAAAACAGAAAATTGAACAAAATAACCGAAATCTGGTCTCTGATTCCAGTGGGTTTATCTCCTCCATTTAGACGTACGGGGTGTGAGATATTCAAATCAAAACAAATCTGACACGTGACTTTAAACCGGAATTCCTAAACGTAGCTTGCTAAAACTCACCCAATGAGCCCAAAAAAAAAAATTAAAACGTTATTACGCCGTCACATTCCCTCAACTGAAAACAATTTACTTTCCCAAAAGGGAAGGCAATGTGCGCCAGGAGATACGAAGAGCAATAAGAACGACAATGGCAACGCTTTGAAGATTACATTTAAGTATCTCATCACTTCACGCAGATTTATTTAAATCGCCTCTTATATAAAGCGAATTTCGGAAATGATTTCTCTAACGAATGTGACAATTTGCCGGGTTCAAACGAAGTCGTCACGAAAATGTCCAGTGTGGATTTCCCAGCAAACATTTAATTTCGTAAAATTATAATAGTAATAAGTACTGATGGAACTTGTTTAGCAAAAGCATTATGGGAGATTAATACGGGTGTTAAAAAGAACGAATGAAAAAGTTGATGAAGTCCTCAAATACCTGCCAAAAGACACACAAGTTTCATTGGGAAGCTGAGTTCATTGATCGATGGGTGATTTAAAAAAGAGTTGCAGCTTTGGGACGTAGAGGTGACTTTAATATTAAACCAAAATGCGGATTGGATTGGAATGCAAACTGGGTTATTTAGAGAATCTTATACTTGAAAATTGGTAAGTAGGCTGCAGTGATTTCAGACGAAAAGTCAATCTTTGAAAATCCAAAGAAAATTACTATGGGAATGGTTTATTTGTTTGGAACAATTCTGAAAGGCAGGATCGCTGCAATTGTCAATTCATGCCAATATAAAATCATTGGAAACAGAACTCAAACCTTCGGTAACAAACGAACCGTACAGATCGCTCGAAGACTAGGAATTCGTAATGTAATAATGCGTCGTAACTGGTGGCGTTTGGATTCATCAAAAACGACTGTTCACAGCATATTGACCAAATGTTTAACATTTCACCAATATAAAATTCAATTGTTACATCTCTAGAAAATTTAAGTAGTAGTAGTGAAGTACTTAACACTTTGAAAAGTTTCGACATCTTATTCAGCGCCTTACTTTCACTTAGACGCCTTTATAAATAAGCAGAACTATCGTTACTGAAGTTATGAAAGTCTCCAAGAGAAACATCAACTTCTCTCTCCCAAAGTGACGGTATTGGAGGAATGAGTACCTCCTGATTTATCGGACCTTAATTTTTCAAAAATGCGGTGCTGCACTTGCGGTTACTGCTTTTCGATACAATATGTTGAACAGTTTTTTGAGATCAGAGGTCAATAATTTTGCTGGTTTCAATGAGAACAAGTGCTTTCAACGAGATGGCATCACCTCACATACTCTAAAGCTTTCGATAAAATAAATAAGAACTATTTTTCAGGGAAGATTAATGGCTAAATGGGCCGCCCAGAAGTGATTTAATTCATATGGATTTTTTCTATAGAGTTACCTTAAACGAAGCCTATACATTCGCATTTCTGCTTCTGTCTGGAGGAGGTGCAGTGATGCGAAGGAAGACATCTCGATAATGTTATTTTTCGCAAATAATTATCCCTTTTCTTAGTGTAAAACAAAATTTGTTGTAATGAGTTACCTCAACCTTTTGGGATGTCCTGTAGAAAATATGAACTTTGTTTAAAACGCTCCATTGTTTAAAATTTAATACAAATATTAAACGGCTCTGTTAATGATATATCGCAGGAAGGATTCCAGTTTGCTGTCTGTCAACTCAACTCCACTTAAGCAATGCACTATGGAAGATCAAATTTCCGTTATTGACCACAGCACTAAAACGACGCATTGATGTGTGTGAAAATCTTTTCATTGGGTATGCAGAAGGAAACGCTTTTTTCACAAGAGTGGCTGCTGGAAATGAATCGTGGGTCACCATCAATCTGAAACCAAAAAACAAGTTGACAATGCTAACAGTATTCGCCAAACCTATTCAAATACACATGCTGCCACGCCACAGGAAATGCTGACTGCTTTTAATTATGTAATTTTAGAGTACTACATATCAAGCATGTGTGAGTGCTATATAACCAAAAAAACTCATATTATATTCTTTGAAAAAACGTGTAGTAATGGTGCTCCACTAAACAAATTATAAATTGATAGAAATATGTAAGTTTTTGATCATGTGAAGCATAAATAATAACTTTTCTGCTATCTAATTGTACAACATTTTTATAAAAATGAATAACTTCATTTGTTTGTTTGTTCAGATAATTTAAATCGAATAAAAAATCAAGTTCATTAAAAGGTACTGTTAGAAAAACTTCAATTTCGATTATACTAATTTTTTTTTGAAGCAATTCTTATTGTTAGTTTCTCACATAAATTTTGCGTTGGATCTTGTGAGAGCGTTCAACACAGTGCAGAAGTCTATAAGCCAAACGACGTGGCGCGGTGTTAGGTCCACACACAGGTAACCTATAGTACTTTTCTCTTAATGACATACTTGCTAGAACATTCATTGCTAGAAGATAAAGTAGCATGCCCAATTATACCATATGATGATGAAACAGTTTTGACTTTTAGTGACTTTGCAGAAACTCATATCTAAAGTAGAACGGGGTGGTCGAATGGTCGAAATGGTAAAAGATTGGTTACCTTATTTAGAATATTAGCACATCAAACTATGTAGCATTGTTTCTTACCGAGGTCAATAGACTTGATTTTAGTTATTTGCAATCACCAAGTAATGAAATAAATAACGTTATTTACTTAGGTTTTATAGTTGACAAAAAAGCATGATGTAAATATCCTGGTTGTTAACGCAAAAAGGCTTATCTACAAATTTTACAAACTTTTAAATATCTCTGTAACTGATAATTCATTGGCATTAACACCTACTAATTTGACCTACCCAACTTTGGTTAATTATGAAACGTATGCCTTTATTACGCTTGTACTTTTTAAACAGGAAAATTGTTATTAATCACTTGGCACATTTATGGAAATATTATAGGGTACTAACTACCCTTTTCGAACTTTTATTAAAGCAAAAATTCTGTATTTATGAGGTAATGTTATGTGCATTTTCATTTTTGCTGCATGATTATAGATATATTTGTCAAATCGTCAATATCTGCGTGAAATGCGAATATCAAATCCTATATTTTTGGTGTACAAATGAGATCAACTAAATGAGGACTTTAATTACAGGTACCTCGAAAACAAGCGCGTTTATTCCAAAAATTTCCAATTTCGATTGGTTTAGCTATAGCCAAAACGATTGCCACTGTACAGACGTGAAAAAATGCGAGTTCACATATTCATTAACAAAGAGACGCGATAACAATGCACGTCGCTATAATAAAGCAATTATCATATACGCGACCTTTTTTTAATAAAAACAGCGGTTTAATTACGGGCGATGCAATTGAAAAGTCACCGATTTGGAGTCTACGCCATATGGCGGTTTCAGATTATACCGGGGCTATTTAGACTTAGCCGGCGCTAAATGAAGGGGGTGGTTTCGGAAACACCCCTGTTAAAAAACGTCACGAGGGGGTGGTAATCTGTATGAATATATTCGGTCCACTTCTAAAGCCCCAAATATTAAAATCCCCTGCGGTTTATTCATTTAACAATACAAGTGGGTTGTTAAGGCTGATAATTACGATTTTTAATATTCGCGCCAATACGAAAGACGTTGTTTTGAAAAACGTTTTAATTTGTGTAAAAATGACGTAGGAATTTTAATTTAAACTTAATTAGAGAAACATATAGTGGAAAATTGTGACCAGTTCGTCTTTTCGCCGTCAGATTTCACCATCGGGCATCGGCACCACAATATATACTCCGTCGTTTAATCATACATTCGTTGTCAGAGCTTCCGCTTTTCTCCACACATTGATTTGTTAATTCGCAAGAGGCAGCGATTTGATTGTTTTCAATTTCCACCATTAAAAATACTCAAAACTATTCTCCATACATATATATATATATATATATATATATATATATATATATATATATATATATATATATATATATATATATATATATATATACAGTGTGTCCAAGATAAGGATGCACAGCATGGGGATCTCGGAAACTATAAGAGATACAGTGTCGGTTAAATTAGACAAAAGTTGCGCATTTTGATACCGAACAAGATCCCGTTTTACAAATTTGAAAATTCCAAGCCGTTCCGGAAATATCCGAGAAAAACCGAAATATTGCGATTTCGTTTTTATTATTTTTTAAAGCTATTTGAAAAGATATGAAAAAACGGAAAACACTTTTCCATTGGCACTTTTTAATCTCTCCAAATTGACGTTAACAAATTTTCATTACAGCGTTTCGATTCCATGGAACCACCATCAACTTTGATTTTTCTTATAGGACGGAAAAAAAGTACACACAGTATTAGGTTGTGCTTTTCATTGCGAATTCAACGATGTACGATACAATACGGTTACTTATGTTTTTATCCAGAAAAATGGCTTTTTAATACATTTCTAGTATTTTATTGTAGTAGGCCATGAGATCCGAACGATGAAAGGCAAAAGAAAATGGTTGACAAGTTCGAGTTAATGTGTTTATTTATTTACTAACTCTAACTGTTCATTTAACATAACAACTAAATCCAACAAGTTAATGAAAAACAAATTCTATAACAAATGTTCGAATAAATGACCTCCATTTTCTAGGCATAAGTACGCCCGTCTCACGGTAGACTCCAAAACACGACTTAACATTTCAGGAGTAATTTTATTAAACGCTGCTCGTACTGATTGACGTAATTGTTCCTCGTTGTCAAAACATTCTTTGAATACCTCATTTTTTATGTAGCCCCATAAGAAAAAGTCCAAGGGAGTTAAGTCCGGGGACCTTGGAGGCCAAGGTGTTTCACTGTAAGTCCCAATGTATTTTCCATCAAACCGTTCAGTTAAATATTGGCGAACTTCTCTGGAGTTATGGGCTGGGGCACCATCTTGTTGGAACCAGCAGCCTTGCACAGCGTCTAGCGGTAAATCATCTAAGGCATCTTCTAAATCGTGCCTCAAGATGTCAAGGTACCGCTCGGAAGTTAAGGAATTATTATAGAAAATAGGGCCTATAATCTTGCTACCAAAAATCCCACACCAAATATTAAACCCAAAGCGAACTTGATGTCTGGATAGTCTATTAACACGTGGATTTTGTTGCGACCAATAGTGTGTATTGCGCCTGTTATAAATACCGTTATTGGTCACCATACTTTCATCAGACGAAATCACTTTATATGGAAAATTAAAACTCTCATCACACATCCTGGTATACCACTCACAAAAATGTCTACGTCGTTCGTCGTCACCCGGTTTTAATCCTTGACATATTCTGAATTTGTAAGGCTTAAATTCATTTTTCCTTAAAATAAACTGAGCTGTAGATTTAGCTACCCCATTCTGGTCTTCAATTTCTCTGGTAGAAGTTTGTGGATTTTCGATAACAGATTGTAGAACAATGTATTGGTTTTCTTCATTGGAAGGTTTTTGTCGGGATAATGCAGGCTTCTTAAATGATCCATATTCTTTCAGATTAAATAACAAACGCCGAAAAATACTCTTGTCAGGTTGTCTCCGCTCTGGGTATTTGTTAGAATACATACGCTCGGCTTCCACACAATTTCTTTGGCATCAGATGTAGCAAGACAGCATATCACATTTTTCTTCGTTGGTAAAATTACCTCCCTCCATTGTGGAACAAAATAAATTAGAAAAAGACAACAACAATAAAAATACAAAAACAATAACTAAAGGAATAAACTTATGATCGACTGATAACAAAGACAAATAACATTAATGTATCATTGAAATTGACTGGATGTCATTTTGTCATGGCCTACTCCATTTAAATGCTGAAATGTATTAAAAATCCATTTTTCTGGATAAAAACATAAGTAACCATATTGTATCGTACATCGTTGAATTCGCAATGAAAAGCATAACCTAATACTGTGTGTACTTTTTTTCCGTCCCATAAGAAAATTCAAAGTTGATGGTGGTTCCATGGAATCGAAACGCTGTAATGAAAATTTGTTAACGTCAATTTGGAGAGATTAAAAAGTGCCAATGGAAAAGTGTTTTCCGTTTTTTCATATCTTTTCAAATAGCTTTAAAAAATAATAAAAACGAAATCGCAATATTTCGGTTTTTCTCGGATATTTCCGGAACGGCTTGGAATTTTCAAATTTGTAAAACGGGATCTTGTTCGGTATCAAAATGCGCAACTTTTGTCTAATTTAACCGACACTGTATCTCTTATAGTTTCCGAGATCCCCATGCTGTGCATCCTTATCTTGGACACACTGTATATATATATATATATATATATATATATATATATATATATATATATTCTCGCATATTGATTCACGGATGGAAAAATGTGATGACACTATATTCCGGGATATCATCCGTTCGCTCGTTGAACTCCGACTGGAATCCTGCAGACGTTTCGCCAAAATCTCACTTGGCATCTTCAATGCTCGCGCTCCGAAAACACTTCGAACACTGTGTGTTCGAAACAGTGTTCGAAGTGTTTTCGGAGCGCGAGCATTGAAGATGCTAAGTGAGATTTTGGCGAAACGTCTGCAGGATTCCAGTCGGATGCAGGATTCCAGTCGGAGTTCAACGAGCGAACGGATGATATCCCGGAATATAGTGTCATCATATATATATATATATATATATATATATATATATATATATATATATATATATATATATATATATATATATATATATATATATATATATATATATATATATATATATATATATATATATATATATATATATATATATATATATATATATATATAATGAATGAATTTCGAGAGAAAACACACAAACTGCATTCCGTTTCATGGTCCATGTGTTAACCAGCAAGAATTATTATG